TCATTCATAGCAATAGAAAATAGATTTTGCATAGCATGGGTTACCTTTGAAGACCAAAACCTTCTTTCTTCTAACCCCCCTAGGCCCTACTTTGAAGCTCTTCTTCCTCACAACCTTCTTACACAAGCCAAACCACAAAAAAATACCAAACTTAGATAAAGACACCTTAAAGCTAACTAAAAACACTAAATAACTTTAGATATTACCCTTTCCTATGCTTGGGAGGTAGAAAGTGGGATCTTGGATTGAATCTTTGCAAGGCTAGGAAGATCTGCTTTTAGCTTGGAGAGTAAGCCAAGATTTCTTAGAGAGAAGGTGGAGTGTTTAGGAGATTGGCTAGAAGATGATGAATGAAATGTATGCCTTGCTAGGGCAAGCTTAAACACCAATCATGTGTGAAAGGACAAGTTTACCCTAATTAAGGAGTCGGATTTTCGGGGTGTCACAATTTCATCAAATAATTCGTCTGTACTATCATTCAATAACTTCAATGGAACAATTCATTTTTATTCAACAATAAAAATATTACAAGGAACTACAATATTTATTCCACAAATAAATAAATAGGAAAAATACATTGGAAATAAATTCCTTATTCCTATCTCATAGTAATCCTTCAAACCCATGTGCCATGTTCCATTTTCCAATCATCCACTCCACGAAGGGTGGTCCATAGCGCACATCGGGGGTACCACGGTTGTGACCTCACTTGTCCAACCGTCCACATTCTTTAACCCAAGCGAAGTTGTCCGCAACCTTTTCACCAGGATGACGGTTCGCTTCGTAGTGGCTGCTCACTTCTTCCTCATAATCATCTTCAGGCCTAAACTTTCGTTTGCCTTTCCTTTGATTACGGTTGAAGTTATTGGTCACACTACAATAGTCCTCAGACCATGTGGTGATCACACCATCATTGGATCCTTCGTGGCTTTTACCCGATCCACTAGGCAACGCGATGGGTACCAATTATGTGCCGTTAGCCACAAGTCTACCGGATTGTGAACTAAAGTTCTCCGAAGCACCATCATGTGTTTTTGCAACTCCCGTGGAAATATCATTTCCAACGTTGCTGCCGTCAACCGGCATCACGGAATGTGCAACATCGTTGCAGTTTCGACCATTTGAATGTGCACCACAAGCAACATTCACGGTTCCAATACTCTTGGAATCCATCGACTTGTTCATTATCAAAGAAATAAGGTTTTAAGATTGTTGGAGATAATGAACGAAATTAAAGTCGATTTAATATCGCAAAATAATATTTATATATACACACGAAAGTATATAAAATATTATTCGATATATATCCGAAATATATATATACACACAAATATATATAAATCAGACTCCCACGGTTATATACATCTATATCTACGAAAAAGATATACGTATATCAACCAAAATGGAACTAATAATCCTCACATTATAATTCCAACCAAAAGAAAACAAAGTTTAGTGCAAGGATTTTAGCTTAGAAGCATAATCCCAAAACCGGAGAAGAAAGAAGAGTGGCTTGTGTTTGGTGTAGGGTTTTTAGCACGAGTTGAGCGATCACTCTCTCCATAAAACCTTATTTGCCACCTCCCAAAAGTGCTAGGAGCGTTGTGGTCTTGGCTTCCCAGGATAAAACGTGCTACGATTTGACGTTTTGAGGAGAAGAAAACAATTCATGTGTTGTGTGTTCTTGTTGTGCTTCACTTGTTCTTTCTTGTAAATCTGTTGCTCCAACAACAAACTTATATAGGAGATTGAGGTGTAAATAGCATTAAATCCGATTATAACCTTCAAAACTGACTATTTAACATGAAAAGAACCCGCGAGGTGCCAGCGTACACAAGATTAAGCTTGGATCAAGCCTTTTCAATCTCAATTTGGGATTTGAATTGCCCCCCCCCCCCCCCCCCCCCCCCCCCCCCCCCCCGTGGGTGAAAGAGAGCCTCTATGCTTTACAATTCAATAAGCCTTAAAAGAACTCTTGTATAAATACTGGGGCAAATCCTCTTCCCAGACCAATATGGGACAAAAGTTTCACATTTTCCCTTCATTTTTCCAACTTAATGGGTCTACTTTGAGAATCAATATCTCATTCACCCATTATCCGTTTTGAGCGTACAATATATCAATCTATTCAGTCTCATTACAAAGAAACCGAATCCACTTTGACCCGACCAAAATCGGAAGTGGACCCCACTGATAATTGTACCACAAAATAGCTACTTAAAATGCCATTTTAATGCTATTTTTCCAACAAAATATTGTTTTGGTACATTGGACATCATACTTTCTGAACTTTTTCGTACTTAATTTAGAAAAAGGATAAATATTATTACAAAATGTGAACACCTCATTAGGGAGGTCGATCAATCTTAACTCCAAATCAATGGACTAGCTCAATAAATTTTGGACAAATTTTGTGGAGTTAGTGACAATGTTAAAACATTTGTAAAACTAACTAAATACTAAACCCTAAAAATTTCCCTACATTATAAGTTTTGATTTCATTGGATGCTTTTGCAATTGGTAAAACATGCAACTATTACATCCATGGAGATCGGAGATGGTTAGATATCCTAGGATATATAGATCTACTTAGGAATGTCAATTTTAGTCCAAATTTGATGAGCTGACCCGATAAAATCAAGAAATATTAGAGTTAGAGCCGAAAAATTTAGCCCAATTAAAAACCAGCTCGATAAGCTTGGTGGCCTTAACGAGATAGCCTGATAGCTCGAGCTATTTAAGGCTATTCTTTATTTCACAAGTAATGTGGAACAAAGTATACATTGAGTTTATATGTAAGTTCATCCTTAGTATTTTTTATTAAATTTTTAAATGAAATTTTAATAAATATATTAAGAAATTTAATTTATTATTGGAGTTCATATGATCATATGGGTCCTCTGAGTATGGTAGTTTGCAACGTTTAGTCCTAAACTTTCAAGTTAAACACTCGCGATCCTTCAACTGTCAAGTTAACCACTCGTTGTACTTCAACTTTTAAATTTTAACTAGTTGTGGTCCTCCAACTTTCAAATATTAACCAATCATGGTCCTTTTGAAAGGACGACTTTATCCTTACTTTACACGACCTAAAGGGCTAAAACTAATAGAAAGACCACAGTGGGTTAAAATCTAAAAGTTGAAGGACCACAAGTTGTTAACTTAAAAGCTTATGACTAAACGTGGCAAAACAAATATACTTGGAAGACCTCAAATGACATTAACTCTTTATTACTGTACAAAATTAAATAAAATAATTTTATGAAAATAAATAATGTAAAATAAACAAATTATTATAATTATTGTATTATAGTGTAAATATATACAATCGTGGGGCAACGGGGGCGCATGTTTATGGGACTCACACAGGCAGATAATAGTGGGGTTGTGCTTTCGTTTTGATGCGACGTCGGCTCTGGAAGCTGAGACATTGTTGCTTCATTTCGCCGTCCATTTTCCAGAAGGCCTTTCGCGGTGGAAGTGGATTCCCTCGCCCTCGCCAACTTGGTCTCGTTAGGGACGACTAGGGTCCCGTAGAGGATTAAGGATGCCATCCTCTTCGTTAGCTCTTGCCTGTGCTCGTGGGGCTCGTCGATTCGGCATGTATATCGGGAGGCCAATCAGGTAGCTGATGCTCTAACAACGGCTGGTCTTAGTTATAGCTTTTCAAAGGTTTTTTGCAGTTTTATTCCCTACATGTAAAAGCTAAATTGGTCTTATTATATGATCTTTTAGAGGCTTTGCCTCGCGTCGGGCTGTTTGACGTCAATAAAGCTCTCGGTTTGTTTTTTAAAAAATATTACTAATTTTTAGTTAAAATTTGGAAATTGAGGTTTAGATTGCCTGAATTAATGATGTATAAGTTTATATTTATTAGTGTAAATACACTAGTTTATTAAAATTGAAAGTTTAGAATGTTAATTTGAAAATGTCAAAAGTTTTTGTTAAGTTCGCCTGATAAATCTGACATCCCGAAGTTTTAGAATTAGGGTCAAGAATTTTAAACTAGACAATAAATAAATAAATAAATAAATAAATAAACCCTAACCGAACAAGATGGCCCGATTGGCATCGCTAGATCTACTCCATCCAATCGTTATACCCTGCACCACGACGCGCGCAGCACTGTGCGCCCCGCGCCTCCCAAAACGACATCGTTTTAGGAGGCGCGGATGGGAGTTGGCCTGGCGTGATTATGTGTATTTGTTTATACCATTATGTGTATTTATTTATATAATTATATGTATTTTTTTATACAGTTATGTGTGTTTGTTTATACAATTATGTGTACATGTTTATACAATTATGTGTATTTTTTTATACAGTTATGTAAAACGACGTCGTTTTGCATCATGGCGCACAATGCAATGCACGCCCTGGTGCAAGATATAAATTGCCTACTCCCTCAATTATAACTAAAGACTTTTTATCCAAGTAAATTTAAGTAAATCTCATAACATTACATTAAAGCAAAAAACAAAAAAAAAAAAACAAAAAAAAAAAAAAAAACAAAAAAAAAAAACAAAAAAAAAAAAAAAACAAAAAGAAAACAAAACAAAAAAAAAAAACAAAACAAAACAAAAAAAAAAAAAACAAAAAACAAAAACAAAAATGCTCCAAATTAACGAAACTGATGAATTAAATTGACCCAAGTATCATTGTGTTGATTTGCTCTGGATCCATTTATAATATATCCGGCCACCAGAAGCATTGTAATTAAGGATACCAAAACTCTTGCCCAAGCAAGTGAGATACTAAAACTTTTCCCCAACAATGACACATACCAAAACCATCTAAGCAAGAAAAGAATAAATCAAAAACTCATCAATTCATCATACTATTAATAAACCACATCCTTAATTGGCCCTCATTGGTTCCCATGCATGCATCCATAATCCAACTAGTGTATGTACCAGGGCTAATTGACAGTGAAAATCGTGGACGAAAATATGCAGGTATTGAAACTTGGACATCAATAGACAATAGCATACTGCTCCAAAATGCCACTAGTCCCGATTGATCATTCCGAAATCACCACCACCATCACTACAGATGAATGCAATTACCTGCAGTATCATCAGCACCAGCACCACCATTACTATCATCACGACCAAGATCGTCAGCCGAAGCCTACCTATCAAGTTTACTGCCGAGCAGACAACAAATCCGCGCTCACCATCCGTGACAACAAGGTCATTCTCGCCCCATCCAATCCCTCCGACCCTCGTCAGCACTGGTACAAGGAACACAAGTTTGGAACCCAGGTTAAGGATGAAATAGGCCTACCCAGCTTTGCTCTAGTGAACAAAGCTACCGGGGAAGCCATCCAACACGGCGTTGCCGGCGCTCAACTGGTACAGCTGTTGAAGTACTATGAGCCTAATGATGATAGTGTTGATCATTCCATATTGTGGAGTGAAGCTTGTATCAAGGATGATAATGGCGAGTATAAAGCAATTAGGATGGTGAATAATATTGGCATGAACATGGATGCATTTGGGGCTACCAAAGAACGTGGGGGGGTCCAAGATGGGACTGCCATTGGTCTGTGGGAATGGAACGGAGGAGACAACCAACGTTGGAAGATCATTCCCTATTGATCATCTATCTACGTCGACATTTAATTTATTTTCATACCACAAAATAAATGTTGCTACAAATATTGTACCTAGCCCTTGACCTATAAACACTAGTTGTGTGTATTTTAAATTAAAGTTCAGAGTTGTATCAATAATAGTTGGATGCAGGGCTCGACTCTTCAAATCGTTGCTCAACAAACACTATTGTGCTAATTAACTTGGTCAACACCTTGGTGCTAGGTATAACTTTGAGTGTAGTAGTGATAAGTGTATACTTTAGACAATAAATAAATCAGTATTATATGATCATCTCAGCACAATTGAATTATTTGTTTTCAATTCTTTAAATTTTCCAACGTAAAAGAAAACGAAGGTAAAATAATTTAGTCATAATTAATTCTTAATAAGAAATAAAACATCGTGGACAACATCATAGGAGATAAGGTAGGCTCAACGATGTCTGAACATAAACTTGATATTTTTGTTATGTGCAAATTAAATAATTAACCAGTCAGAGGTACAACTTCGTTTACTGATTTGATTACCAGTTTCTTCACTAGTTTGCCTTTGAACATAAACTTGATATTTTTGTTTAGCAATATAAACAAGCTAAGTACTAACATTGGCAGGATGGCGTTGAGTACGTATATTGATGAACTAGTATGGATCATTGAAAATTAACAGGAGGAGGTGGGTACGAGTGGGATTTGGTACAATCCTTGGGCATTTGATTCATAGAATGTTAGATTAGCTAAGAGAATATTAAATTTTTGTAATATTAGATTATGTTTTAGATTTCTATTTTGGTTAAAACTGAAGTATGAAATATAAACTTGTTTTGATTGAAGAGTTATGTTTTATGTTATAATTGATATTTTTATTTTAATACTCTTAACGTATTTCAATAAATTTCATAAATAAACAATACAATGATAAAATATAAAAGTAAATGAATTAAAAATAATTAATTAAGAGATTGAACTTGAGAAATGGAAAAATTAGTAAAAAAAGATAAGAGATTGTGAGAATACTTTAGGATGGGAAGTGTATCCCACAATCTAGCTAAAAATCTTATGTGGAGATTAAATTACATTTTTTTTGGAAAATTACATAACATTGAACCATACATTAGAATCTTCTTTTACCTAGTAAATATACATACGTTATATGATGGACCATGGTCCACACAGCTGTTTGGAGCATGGTTCGAAAATGGCAACCGTATATGAATTGATTTGGAAGTTTAGAACTAAGTTGATACTTTGTGAATTTTGACTTTTTGAAATTGTGTTTTGATTATTTAAATTTTTTTACAATTTATATTTCTTGATGTTTATTGGGTTAATATATTTAATATTTTAATATTAATTATTAAAGTATTAAATAGTTTATAATTATCAACGTCTTTAAAATTTTATTTAAAAAAAAAAAATACCGAACATCGTCTAATAATTTTTTCAACATTTTCGCTAGCTATATCTTTGGACAAAGTGATACGCATGGGATCTAATAGTAAGACTAAATATTTTTTTTTTTTAACACAAAACTAAAACTAGGAAAGCTAAACAGTTTGGGAGAAGGAAAGCTAAACAGTTTTAAAAATAAAATTAAAAAATTAAAAAAAATAGCATGCGTAGGAATTTGATGTCATATTTTGTGGCCACACAACCAAAACCGCTCAACTAAAATGGGTTGACTACTTGACCATGCATATGGAGATTAATATATAATATCATAGAGATTGAATATAATAAGTAAATATGTGATCGACCAATAATAATAAATATCATTAGCCTATGTATTCTGACTTACTAAAATATGACAAAAATGAATTGAGTTTTCTCTCTTGTCTCTCTCCCCGTTGTTCTAGAATCCACTTGCTACTCAAACTATATATAGCCATGTTTTTTTCTCACTCTTAACTCATAAAAGAGCAATAATACGATATAATCTTAGAGTTGTATCAATAATAGTCAACGCCATGCTTGAATAGTAAAATGTATGGCTCGACTCTTCAAACCTTGCCCAACAAAGACCCACATATTGTGATAACCACTTGATCAATAATGTTATAATTTTGCTACTGATTATAACTTTGGGTGTAATAGTAAGTGTTTAATTATTATAATAAATAAATCAATGTTATATGATCACCTCAGCACAATTGAACAATTTGCTTTCTTTAAAGTTTACAAGGTATGTAAAAGAAAATGAAAGTAAAATAATATAATTAAGTCTTAACAAACAAACCAGCATCGACACATCATAGGACATAAGACCGGCTCAAAGATGTATGAAAAATCAAGAGAAGCTATCATAGGATGAACTGGTCAACTTAATCAAGTTACATAATCGATCAATCCACCATAGTCATGATGTTCATAATCAAGCCATAATATATTGATGTTCTTTTTGTTCTAAATTTATTATCGAGGGTTATTTAAATTGAAAATTAAGCAGAACTATTTGTTTTTGTGTGGAGGCATAGGCTTACCCAAAAAAAAAAAAAAAATTAAAAATAAAAAAATAAATAAAATAAATTGAAATGTGAATAAGTAAAAGTTTGTATAAATAAAGCATGAGTATTAATTCATCTTAAAATGATGCATGTTGGGCCAAAAAACGCATATTTTTTACTGCAAATGTGCGTTTGGACTATACATAAAGCCTTCCTCTGCCAAGCCTGCTATCTGTTGTCACTTTCATAATGACAAAACATTTAAAAACTATTTGATCCATTCAAAACATCTTCGCATGAAAATCCATTTCATCTTCCTATAAATACCCTCTTCACGGCCTAAATTTTCTCAAACAAACACAAAAACAAAGAAGAAACAAAGAAGAAGAAGAATGGGTCTTACACAATTTAACAAAGTGACCTTTGCTGCTATCCTCTTTTGCTTCATCCTCATTGCATCATACGGTGGGTATTCGATCTCTAATTCTTTTTACAATACAGTTTTTATATTTCTTAATCTGTCAAATGGTCAGTTATGAGCGAGCTAGACTGTTTAACTTCCTTGTGTTCCAGTTGTAGATTTTTCTCGTCATACAAAATAATTAATAAAACGAATGTGAGTGTCGTGGTTTGCCATGATTGACATTATTGCGAACTAATATGAATGCAGAAACTCATATGGTTGAAGCACAACACCATGGGGGTGGCGGTGGCGGTGGGAGAGGCGGTGGCGGTGGCGGAGGTGGTGGCGGTGGTGGTGGCGGATGTGTTTCACACAACTCTTGGAATGGAGGTTGCCCAGGGCACTGTGGCGGGTGGTGCGGTAGCAAGGGTGGCTACAAATGGTACTGTCAGCGTCAGACATGTTACTGTTATCATAAGTGTTAAATGGAAATATTTGTATGATGCACTATTTTCATGCCACAAAAATAGTGCATCACACGAATCTCAATCTATCATATATATAATATGAAATAAATGTTGCTACAAATGGCTCTAGTCATTTTGTCACAGCAACAAATGTTATCCCAATAAATGGGGTGTATTTTAATTAATGTGTGTTGTATACTTGTATGTTGAATATATTACGTGTGTGGAGTGTTTGAGTATTTAGTATTTGCAAAGTTGAATGTTGTTTTGGTACATAGGACATCATACTTTCTGAACTTTGTCGTACTTAATTTAAAAAAAGGATAAATATTATTACAAAATGTGAACACCTCATTAGGGAGGTCGATCAATCTTAACTCCAAATTGATGGACTAGCTCAATAAATTTTGGACAAGTTTTGTGGAGTTAGTTACAATGTTAAAATATTTGTAAAACTAACTAAATACTACCCCTAAAATTTTCCTACATTATAAGTTTTGATTTCATCCGATGCTTTTGCAATTGGTAAAACAACTATTACACCCATGGAGATCGGAGATGGTTAGATATCCTAAGATATATAGATCTACTTAGGAATGTCAATTTTTAGCCCAAATTTGATGAGTTGGCCCGATAAAATCAAGAAATATTAGAGTTAGAGTCGAAAAAATTTAGCCCAATTAAAAACCAGCTCGATAAGCTTGCTGGCCTTAACGAGATAGTCTGATAGCTCAAGCCATTTAAGGCTATTGTTTATTTCACAAGTACTGTGGAACAAAGTATACATTGAGTTCATATGTAAGTTCATCCTTAGTATTTTTTATTAAATTTTTAAATGAAATTTTAATAAATATATTAAGAAATTTAATTTATTATTGGAGTTCATATCATATGGATCCTCTAAGTATGGTAGTTTGTAACGTTTAGTCCTAAACTTTCAAGTTAAACACTCGTGATCTTTCAACTGTCAAGTTAACTACTCGTAGTACTTCAACTTTTAAATTTTAACTAGTTGTGGTCCTCCAACTTTCAAATATTAACCAATCGTGGTCCTTTTGAAAGGAGGGCTTTATCCTTACTTTACACAACCTAAAGGGCTAAAACTAATAGACAGTGGGATCTAAAAGTTGAAGGACTAGGAGTTGTTAACTTAAAAGCTTATGACTAAACGTGGCAAAACAAATATATATTTGGAGGACCTCAAATGACATTAACTCTTTATTACTGTACAAAATTAAATAAAATAATTTTATGAAAATAAATAAGGGAAAATTGCGAGTTTGGTCCCTGAGTTATAATGGTAGTGACGACTCAGTCCCTAAGTTATGACCGTATCCGTTTTTAGTCCCTGAGTTATGAGCGAAGTGGCACATTTGGTCCCTGACCGTTAAAACTAAAGGAAAAATTTAAAAAATATTTAAAATTTTAAGGGTAAAGTAGTAAATTCACATTTTATTTTCTTTTTTATATTGAAATCACTTTTGCAACATTATTTTCAACTTCCTAGCATTCTTTTTCAAGATTCTTCAATTCCAAAAGCAATTCAATAATCTTCGTATGACTTGTTAGTAACTTGAGTCTCGTATAAGAAATATGTGACTTAGTACAAACAAGAGAACACTTGATCATTGTCATCAAACATGTAAAACACACCATCCTAAAAATTTCTCATTTACCTTACTAAACATAATGGTAATCAAACCATAACTTTTGAAATACAAGAAGATATCAAATTTCTCAAGTTATTTTTATGACAAATTCACCAAGGGAGTAACTTGAGATTTTTAGTACATAAAATTCTTTCGTAAGCTTTGCAGTAACTTAATTAAGAATCGTATATCTTGACAATATATGAAAATTATATTATATATATAATATATATATCCATCACCTCCTTTGTCTTCTTAAAAACCAGAGTAATGAACGAGGAACCTAAGACTCAGTTATGAAAATTCTAAAAACCTTTGTAACTTCTAAACCTTTGTAACTTCTAAAAATTATTATTGACGAAACTACTGCATATGAAAAAAAATTACATACTAAATATCTCAAGTTATTTCGTTGGTGAATTTCTCATAAAAGCAAACTGAGAAATTTGACATCATTTGGCATCTCAAAAGTTCTGGTTTGATTACCTGTGTTGCTTAGTAAAAAAATTGAAAATTGATAGGATAGTCTGTTTCACACATCTGAAGACAACGATCAAGTGTTTCTTTATTGTTGCTAAGTCTTTAAGTTTGTTATACGAGAGTCGGGTTCATAACAAGTCATACTAAAGTTATTGAAATACTTTTAGAATTGAACAATCTTGAAATAAGAGGCTAAGAAGTGAAAAATAATGTTGTGAAAGTGATTTTGATATAAAAAGGAGAATAAAATGTGAATTTCCTACATTACCCCTCAAATTTTAAATATTTTATAACTTTTCCGTCAATTTTAGCGGTCGGGGACCAAATGCGCCACTTCGTTCATAACTGAGGGACTAAAAATGAATACGGTAATAACTCAGGGACTCAGTCGAAACTTGGGTATAACTCAGGGACCGAAGATGCAATTTTCCCAATAAATAATGTAAAATAAACAAATTATTATAATTATTGTATAATAGTGTAAATATATACAATAGTGGTGCAGCGGGGGTGCATGTTTAAGGAACTCACGCGGGCAAATAATAGTGGGGTTGTGCTTTCGTTTTGATGCGACGTCGGCTTTGGAAGCTGAGACATTGTCGCTTCAGGTCATCGTCTAATGGTGTGATACTTTTGCCAAAAGGCCTTTCGCGGTGGAAGTGGATTCCCTCGCCCTCGCCAACTTGGTCTCGTCAGGGACGACTAGGGTCCCGTGGAGGATTAAGGATGTCATCTTCTTCGTTTGGTCTTGCCTGTGCTCGTGGGGCTCATCGATTCGGCATGTATATCGGGAGGCCAATCAACTAGCCGATGCTCTAACAACGGCTGGTCTTAGTTATAGCTTTTCAAAAGTTTTTGCAGTTTTGATTCCCTACCTGTAAAAGCTAAATTGGCCTTATTGTATGATCTTTTAGAGGCTTTGCCTCGGGCTGTTCGACGTTAATAAAGCTCTCGGTTTGTTTTTAAAAAAATATTACTAATTTTTAGTTAAAATTTGGAAATTGAGATTTAGATTGACTGAATTAATGATTTATAAGTTTATATTTATTAGTGTAAATACACTAGTTTATTAAAATTGAAAGTTTAGAATGTTAATTTGAAAATGTCAAATGCTTTTGTTAAATTCGCCTGATAAATCTGACATCCCGAAGTTTTAAAATTAGGGTCAAGAATTTTAAACCAGATAAAAAATAAATAAATAAACCCTAACTGAACAAGATGGCCCGATTGGCATCGCTAGATCTACTCCATCAATTATAACTAAAGACTTTTTATCCAAGTAAATTTAAGTAAATCTCATAACATTACATTAAAACAAAAACAAAACAAAAAAAAAAAAAAAAAAAAAAAAAAAAACAAAAAACAAAAAAACAAAAAAACAAAAAAACAAAAAACAAAAAACAAAAAAAAATGCTCCAAATTAACAAAGCTGATGAATTAAATTGACCCAAGTATCATTGTGTTGATTTGCTCTGGATCCATTTATAATATATCCACCGGAAGCATTGTAATTAAGGATACCAAAACTCTGCAAATTATGCCCTGGACCCGTGTCCACATTGAATTGTGGACACGGGCCCAAAACGACGTCGTTTTTCAAAAAAAAAAACGCGTCATTTAGTTTAAAAAAAATAAAAATCGCGCGTCTTTTGCCGTTAACGGCGTTTTTTTTTTTTTTTTTTGGATTATGAATGTACAGTTATGCCGTTATGAATGTACAGTTATGCCGTTATGAATATACAGTTATGCAATTATGAAATTATGAACACAGAGCTCTAACATTATGAACTTACAATTATGAACATATATAGTGATAAAATTATGACCATGGAGCTTTAAAATTGTGAATATAGAGTTTCGAAGATTATGAATGTACAGTTATGGAGTTATGAATGTACAGTTATAGAGTTATGAATCTACAGTTATGGAGTTATGAATCTACAGTTATGAGATTATGAATCTACAGTATGGAATTATGAATGTACAGTTATTGATCGAATTATGAACAAAGAGCTCTAACATTATGAACTTACAATTATGAACATATAGTGATAAAATTATGAACATAGAGCTCTAAAATTGTGAACATAGAGCTTCGAAAATTATGAATGTACAGTTATGGAGTTATGAATGTACAATTATGGAGTTATGAATGTACAGTTATAGAGTTATGAACGTACAGTTATGGAGTTATGAATGTACAGTTATTAACATATAGTAATAAAATTATGAACATATACTTTTACAATGAAGCGGTCTGAAATAAAAAAAAAAAAAAAAAAGGAGGAGATAACAGTGCCTAACGGCACTGTTACCCGTGTCCAGCAAGCATGCTGGACACGGGTCCAACGCATAACGATTGCCAAAACTCTTGCCCAAGCAAGTGAGATACTAAAACTCTTACCCAACAAAGACACATAACAAAACCATCTAAGCAAGAAAAGAATAATTCAAAAAGTCATCAATTCATCATACTATTAATAAACCACATCTTGGCCCTCATTTGGTTCCCATGCATCCATAATCCAACTAGTGTATATACCAGGGCTAATTGACAGTGAAAATCGTGGACGAAAATATGCAGGTGTTGAAACATGGACTTCAATAGACAATAGCATACTGCTTCAAAATGCCACTAGTCCCGATTGATCATTCCGAAATCACCACCACCATCACTACAGATGAACGCAATTACCTGTGCAGTATCACCAGCACCAGCACCATCATTACTATCATCACGACGACCAAGATCGTCAGCCGAAGCCTACCTATATATCAAGTTTACTGTCGAGCAGACCACAAATACGCGCTCACCATCCGTGACAACAAGGTCATTCTCGCCCCATCCAATCCCTCCGACCCTCGTCAGCACTAATACAAGGAACACAAGTTCGGAACCCAGGTTAAGGATACAATAGGCTTACCCAGCTTTGCTCTGGTGAACAAAGCTACCGGGGAAGCCATCCAACACGGTGTTGCCGGTGTTCAACTGGTACAGCTGTTGAAATACTATGAGCCTAATGATGAAGGTGTTGATCATTCCATATTGTGGAGTGAAGCTTGTATCAAGGATGATAATGGCGAGTATAAAGCAATTAGGATGGTGAATAATATTGGCATGAACATGGATGCATTTGGGGCTACCAAAGAGCGTGGGGGAGTCCAAGATGGGACTGCCATTGGTCTGTGGGAATGGAACGGAGGAGACAACCAACGTTGGAAGATTATTCCCTATTGATCATCTACGTCGACATTGAATTTATTTTCATACCACAAAATAAATGTTGCTACAAATATTGTACCTAGCCCTTGACCTATAAACACTAGTTGTGTGTATTTTAAATTAAAATTCAGAGTTGTATCAATAATAGTTAAAGCCATGTTCCAATAGTAGGATGCAGGGCTTAACTCTTCAAATCGTTGCTCAACAAACACTATTATGCTAACTAACTTGTTTGGTCAACACCTTGGTGCCATATTTCAATTTGCTACTAGGTATAACTTTGAATGTAGTAGTACTTTTGACAATAAATAAATCAGTATTATATGATCATCTCAGCACAATTGAATTATTTGTTTTCAATTCTTTAAATTTTCCAACGTAAAAGAAAACGAAGGTAAAATAATTTAGTCATAATTAATTCTTAATAAGAAATAAAACATCGTGGACAACATCATAGGAGATAAGGCAGGCTCAACGATGTCTGAACACAAACTTGGTATTTTTGTTATGTGCAAATAATTAACCACTCAGAGGTACAACTTCGTTTACTGATTTGAGTATCAGTTTCTTCACTAGTTTGCCTTTGAACATAAACTTGATATTTTTGTTTAGCAAAATAAACAAGTACTAACATTGGCAGGATGGCGTTGAGTATTTGATGAGACGTATATTGATGAACTAGTATGCATCATTGAAAATTAACAGGATGAGGTGGGTACGAGTGGGATTTGGTACAATCCTTGGGCATTTGATTCATAGAATGTTAGATTAGCTTAGAGAATATATTAAATTTTTGTAATATTAGATTATGTTTTATCAGGACTATGTGGTCTAATGGTACCCGGGTTGGACTTCCATTTGGAAGGTTGTGAATTCAAGCCTTAGTGGAGGCATTATTGGCTCTTTGGTGTTTGTAGGTTGAGAAAGTATATGAACAGATACTACATTGTAATCGAGCTAGTAGCATTCAAAAAAAAAAAAGATTATGTTTTAGATTTCTATTTTGGTTAAAACTGAAGTATGAAATATAAACTTGTTTTGATTGAAGAGTTATGTTTTATGTTGTAATTGCTATTTGTACTATAATACTCTTAACGTATTTCAATAAATTTCATAAATAAAATAAATCAACAATACAATGATAAAATATAAATGTAAATGAATTTAAAATAATTAATTAAGAGATTGAACTTGAGAAATGGAAAAATTAGTAAAAAAATATAAGAGATTGTGAGAATACTTTTAGGATGGGAAGTGTATCCCACAATCTAGCTAAAGATCTTATGTGGAGATTAAATTACATTTTTTTGGAAAATTACATAACATTGAACCATACATTAGAATCTTCTATTACCTAGTAAATATACAGACGTTATATGATGGACCATGGTCTACACAGCTGTTTGGGCTATGGTCCGAAAATTGGAACCGTTAAATTTTAACAAATTTCATATTTTTTGTACGTTCAGAACAAAATAAAACAACAATGTATCTAAAACGAACTTAATAACTTGTCTCGTATAGTGTTTATTAGTTTTTTACGCGCATTGCGCGATTGGGATAATGCCCAATGTTTTTTTTTTAAATAAATACTTTAAAGTATATCAGGGTAAAATTATATTGGAATTGTTCATGCATAGATAATTGAATATTAAATTTGTGTATTTAAATAGGCAATTCTAAGTTTACAACTGCAAGATAATATAGTCAAGATTGATTGTAATTGTCAATAAAATAATTGTATAGGTATGGTTGAAACCAAATACGGACATAAGAGAGAGCAAATAAAAATTAGGGCATAAAATATTAAATATATACTAATATTGAAGAGTTAACTGTTGATTGCCAAACAAGGACATTCCGAGATAGTTTTCCACTTCAATTTGTTGTGTAATTTGAATACTCTTTTTTTGTAAATAAATTCCCAAATAGTTAATATGATTGACTTAATTATATTTTTTTAAAATTTTTTTTAAACAATTATTATTATTATTATTATTATTATTATTATTATTATTATTATTATTATTATTATTATTATTATTATTATTATTATTATTATTATTATTATATGTATACCCTTAGGTCATTTTACATGTTAATCTAAACAGTTAATTTTTTCAAATATCTTTTTACCAACCGTTGATATAATTCGCTGGTCAAATTCGCTAACATAATCCGCTAACGCTAACCGCTAACTGCTGATTGTCAAACAAGGACATTGCGATGTAGTTCTCACTTCAATTTGTTGTGTGATTTGAATACTCTCTTTGTCAACAAATCTCTCAGTTAGTTAATATGATTGGCTTTATTAATTATATATTTTTTAATTTTTTCATGGTATTAATAAAATACTTGGTAAATAAATATATAGCATTATTTTGTATTATAACTTTGATATTTAATTAAAAAATAGTGCACAAAAAAAGATAATAGACATTGTAGTGAATATAATCAATTGATGAATTTGAATGTAAAGAATTTTTACATTGGAGAAATATAAAGACAATGTAACTAATAAAATTATTTCTCTTAATTAATTTATTGATAATGAATAATTTTTTTTTTATAAAGACATTATATGGACAATGTAGCGAATATAATCAATTGATAAATTTGAATGTAAAGAATTTTTATATTGGAGAAAAATAAATACAATATAACTAATGAAATTATTTTTCTTATTTAATTTATTGATAATGAATAATTTTTTTTGAAAATAATGACATTGTACAGACATAATTCTAAATTAAAGAAATGCATATGTATTATTTTTTGTTGTAGCTAATAAATTATTATTTTAATTTAATAAGAGTAAAATAGAGTACTAATTATGCCAACTTTAATTGAGATAGGGTTCGAACCTAAGACCTTTTTATTGAAATCAATGAGTAAGTTAACGGTGAACTAACAGAAATTAACGGAAATGGTAATATTTAACGGAAAAGTTAACTGATAATCATATTCATTAATGATAAATTAGGAAATCTTAAGAAAAAAATTAAAATCTGATAAATTTGAGTCATTCATTTGACTAAAAAATTTGACCGCCATTTTTTCTACCCATTATAGGCCTAACTCTCTTGGGCTCTTATTAGTATAGTAGATATTATCAAATAAAACTGTAATTGAATTGAAACGATACTTTTGTTGTGTTGAAATGAAACTGTAATATGTATAAGATGAAACTGAATAGCATGTCTCGTATATTGAGTGTATATTGTCAAATAAAATTGTAGTTGAATTGAAATGATATTTTAGTTTTGCTTAAATGAAACTGCATAACATGTCTCACATATTGAGTGTATATTGTCAAATGAAACTATAGTTAACAAAATGATACTTTGGTTGTGCTGTAATGAAAGTACAGTGTATATAAAATGAAACTGAATTAAAGTTTCACATATTTGAGTGTATTAGGTATTTGAGTATATGCATCTTCATGAAAATATTTATTGTGTTGTATAACATTAAATCATAATTTAAAAGAGAATTGTATGGCAAATTATATATCTCTGGCTGGAAGTACCCCTGATCCCATTGATAACGGGTGGGCCCAAATAATTCGATCGGGGTAGTTGCCGAACGATACCACATAGTTCCGGCAACAACAAAAGCTGCAAAAAAGACAGCAACGATACTACTGGAAAGTACGGTTTTAATATTTCCCATACGCAATCTTTTGTATAGCCGTTGTGGCGGGCGGACACTAAGATGGAATAGACCCGCTAATATGCCCAATGTACCCGTTGCAATATGATGAGAGGCTATTCCTCCTGGAACAAAAGGATCAAAGCCTTCCACGCCCCACACTGGGTTTACAGGTTGTACTTTTCCCGTTAGTTCATAAGGATCGGACACACAGATTCCGGGACCATACAAGCCTGTTACATGAAATGCACCAAAACCAAGAAGAGAATAGTAGCAAAAACTGGATTGATTATGGGGCAGATCTTACTATTCATATCAATATATTATAAACCTTTCCATATTGCTTTGACTAGACCTTGTATAATAACTGCACTCGGGTTTTTCTATCTTTTTTACCGGATCTTCTGGAAAAGTCAGAAACGTGTTTTTGCTAACCAAAATTCCATGTCTAATCTCAGCTGTATATTTCTAAATCATCTCATTTTATAGCAGTTGCTTAACACTTGCATTTTACCAAGTTCAGCGGCAAGGAGATTAGTTAGCATTTACACGTTTCGATCCACCAACAAGATGTTATTCGTAACAAGTTCTTTTTTTGCCTGGTTCATTGGTCAAATTTTAGTATGCAATTTTTTTGAATTGGCAGGAAAACACATACGTATTGAATTGGCAGGAAAACACAGGTAAAATTCGTTCTACTAACTAAAACACATAGGTAAAAGTCGTTCTACTAACTATTTTCATTTTTTCTTTGTGATTCTCTTTTTTATGATTATTATTTTATGGGAAGGATGAATGGATGATTCGGGTTGGTGGTTGGTGGTTATAACGAGTCGGGCGAAACAATATTGGTGCCCGCAGTTGCCGGCGTACATGAGTCAAGTCTTTTCAGGAAGACCCCCTGCGCGAGAGAGAGCCTCTATGCTATTCAATTCAATAAGCTTTAGAAAAGCTCTTGTATAAATAGTGGTGCAAACCCCACTTCCCAAACCAATGTGAAACAAAAGCTCTTTCAAAGCTTTTCCACCTTCTTGTTTCAACTCAAGTGGGTCTACTTTGAGAATCAATTTTTCATTCACTCATTATCCATTTTGAGCGTACAATATATCAATCTCTTCGTCTCACTACGAAGAATCAGAATCCACTTTAACCCGATCCAAATCAGAAGTGGACCTCACTAATAATTGTACCACAAAATAGCCACTTATAATGATATTTTATGCCCATTTTAAGTTATTTTTTCCAACAGATGACTGATGCTCTGCTGGAATTGATGAAAAGGCCACCAAGCTCTGCACTCATCAATATGGGGTTAGAGCTAATACTTGCTGGAAAAGGCCAGGAAGAACCTACTTCGTCTCCAT